TGCTCAATTTTAGATGCACGTGCAACTTATTATGCACATAAATAAATGTCTGTTCTATTCAACGCGCAATACAATTTATATTCATTTAGCTTTAACAGGTAGTATCCTACAGTTAACACCTGCGTTTATGGTTTCTTTGCACATCCGTATGGAAACAGTACCCTTATAGACCAAATCTTTGTTCTTTCTGTAGTCCAACGACCTGAATGGCGTCCGTGCGTACTCCCTTCTTGACCAGCCAGGTCTGTGTACACTTGGAACAGCCATTATTGACTACCGTGGCTATCGGGTCACTGCGCAAACTATAATTCCAGGTATGTTTTTGGAATCATCTGTTTTTTTTTGCAGTCATATCTTTCAAGTAAGTCAAAAGGCTTGTGATTTACGTATTCAAGCAATGAAACTAATCCGACATAATACCCCTGCAGCAGTCTGGTTGAACTATTTTAGTGCATCCACTATGACAGTTCCATACTTTCAGGAGTAATGGACAGGTAACAGAGTTCGTGTTCAGACTCATCAGCGATGGCAACATTTTAGTTCAATGAGTGCGCGAGGTGCGTAGTCGCTATACCACAGCACATCCCTTTATACGAGACATTATTTGCGGCGATTTAATTTACCAGTGCTGGTGACTGACGCGACAGTTGCTTAGTAATTTGGCTCGTTGATACTGTTAGTGGAGGCAGTGTTCGTTCGCGCTATTCCAATGCGACTTTTATTCTCCCCATTTGGCACTGAATATGGAGGGAGAAATCGTACCTAGCAATGAACTGTGGACCGGCGAAAAACACTGCTCACAGCTCATGCGGTTGCCAGCTCTCACGAAAATTTAACCTGTGTGGCCAGATCTCAGCGAACGAGCCGCGTCCAAACAGTGGACATAATTACTCTCCACTGTTGCTGTGTGTTCAGCTGTTCACGTCCAATCGTTTTATCTTCCCCGCAGTAGCTTTTCCGCATCAGCACTACATTCGGTAAATGCTACATACGTCTCATGCCTAACAATTTCTTCAGCTCTCTTTGCAACCACGGTTCCAAATGGCTTAAAAAGGCCGCTGATGGCTTCTAAGGAATTCTGGCCTTGCAAGGTGTGCTTTTATCTCCTTTGTGTACACACGGGTTTTTCTGGCAACCGATCGTTGTGATCACCCATTGGAGGCATTGGAGTCCACCAACTTTGCCTCCTAGTTCCTTGCAGCTTGTCTTAATGAGCCTTAAGTGTGCCCTTATAGAATCGCTTATCGACCACTTCGGTAATGTGGCGTTAAAGACATGTTTATTACTAGATCGTGAATAAGCAGACTTTGCAGTAGTGCAGTACCCTTAGCCCTGCATACTTTACATTCTTTTTCGATAATTTTGTTTTTGGATAAAATTAAAACACCGCAACTCATTCAGCTGACGCCCTCAATTATTTGATTATCATATTCTCATTTTTTGTTGTTCCGCGTACAGTTTGATTTATGATGCCATTTGAGGGTCTT